GGCCATCTTGGGCCGTCTTGGGCGACTCGGGGCCTTCTTCGGCCTTCTTGGGGCCCGTTTTGGGGCTAACTTGGGCCGTCTTGTGCAGCCCTTGGGCCGTCTTGGCCCCCTCTTGGTCGTCTTGAGGGCCTCTTGGGACTGCTTTAGGCACTCTTGGGCAAGTCTTCGGAGCTTTTTAGGCCGTCGTCAAACCCGTGAAGGCCGAAGCGTCGCACATGCTAAAAATGTACGTTTGCCAATCGGAATTTAACGATTTGGGCCTCTTGGAGCCCTCTTGGGAGTGCTTTGGCTGGCAGGCCTCTTGGGACGTCTCGGAGCCTTCTAGGACCGTCTCGGGGCCATCTTGGACCGTCTTTGGCGACTCTGGGCCTTCTTGGGCCGTCTTGTGCGCCGTCTTGGGGCCAACTTGGGACGTTTTGGGCGCTTCTTGGGCCGCCTAGGCGCCCTCTTGGTCCGCCTTGGGGGCCTCATGGGATCCTCCGCGGCCGTATTGGGGGATTCTTGGGAGCCTCTTGGACCGTCTTCACAATCGTGAAAGCTGCAAAGGCGCACATGCTAAAATGTAAGTTTTCCCATCGGAATTTAATGATTTGGCCTCTTGAGGCCCTCTTGGGAGTGCTCTGGGAGCCTTCGTGGAGCGTCTTGGGGCCTTTTTGGGCCGTAGCGGGCAGCTCGAGGCCTTCTTGCGCCGTCTTGGGGACCTCTTGGAACCCTCTTGGCTCGTTTTGGCACCCTCTTGGCCTCTCCGGGCCGCCTCCGGAGAGCGAAACGGGGGGGTATCAGCGAGCGTATTAGATTTGTTGCGGGCTGGGCCGGCCCAGGCCGGGGGGGGCGCGCGCTTCGCGCGCGCTTAGGTTCTAGCGTGTCACAGACACAGGAATCGCTGTGCGAAAAAATGCTTGGAGTTTCTCAGGCAAGTGAGAACTCCAGTGGCAACACCTGCTTGAGGCACCGCCGGGGACGGACCCTGTGTAGAGCGTGGAAGGTCGGACCAGCTCTATGGTCGACTCTCTTGGGCGCGCCCTGGGGCTCTCTTGGGCCGTTTTGGGAAGCCCATGGGGGGGCTGTTTCGGGGCCTCTTTTGGTGCTTCTTCGGGTCTCTTGGGGGCCTCTTGGGGTTTCTTGGGCGCTTCTTGGAGCCTCTTGGGGTCTCCTGGGGGCCTCTTGGGCCAAAACGCTCGAATCTTCGGTTCCTCGTCCCCGTCTTGGGCGCCGACTCGGGGCGTTCTTGGGCGGTTTGGGCGCCTCGGGGGCCGTCTTGGCCCCCTCGTGGGCCGTCTTGGGGCCCTCTTGGGGGCATCCTCGACCGGCTTGGGTGCCTCTTGGGCCGTCTTGGACGCAGTGGAAGCCCAAAAGGCGAACAGGCCAAAAATAATAGTTCTCCCATAGGAAATCGACGATGTTTGCTTAATGGGGCTCTGTTGGGGTGCCCCTTGGGGCGTGTTAGGGCCTGTCTGTGTTTTTGCGGGTCTCTTGGGGACCTCTTGGGGCTTCATGGGCACTTCTTAGAGCCTCTTGGGGTCTCCTGGGGCGCCTCTTGGGCCGTCCTGGACGCAGTGGAAGCCCAAAAGGCGAACACGCCAAAATTATCCCAGTGCGACCCTACCTAGGAGTTGGAGCATTCAGGAAAGCAACATCTACATCTGCACCGACAGCTACATTTACATCTACACCTGCATCTACATCTACATCAACATCAACAGCGAGACTCACATCTACATATATGATATGCTATGCTATGCTGCGCTATGCTATGCTATGCTATGATGTGCTGTGCTATGCTATGCTGCGCTGTGCTATGCTAAGCAATGCTATGCTATGCTATGATATGATATGACATGATATGATATGCTGCGCTATGCTATGCTATGCTGCGCTATGCTGTGATATGCTATGCTATGCTATGCTATGCGATGCTGTGCTGTGCTATGATATGCTGCGCTGTGCTATGCTAAGCAATGCTATGCTATGATATGATATGATATGCTATGAGATGATATGATATGCTGCGCTATGCTATGCTATGATATGCTATGCTATGATATGCTGGGTTATGGTATGCTATGCTATGCTATGATTGGCTATGCTATGCTATGCTATGCTATGCTGTGCTAATACTGCGCTATGCTGCGCTGCGCTAAGCTAAGGTAGGCTAAGCTATGCTAAGTTAAGCTAAGCTAAGCTAGGCTAGGCTAAGCTAAGCTGAGCTAAGCTAAAGCCAAGCCAAGCCAAGCCAAGCCAAGCCAAGCTAAGCTAAGCTAGACTAAACTAAGCTAAACTAAGCTAAGCTAGGCTAAGATGAGATAAGCTAAGCTAAGCTAAGCTAAGCTAAGCTAAGCTAAGCTAAGCTGGGTGAACCCAGGGGGCGCAACTGGGGGAACCGCGGGGCGGGGACCGGGGGAACCGCCCGGGGCGGGGAACACTGCCCGGCCCCTTTAAGCAAAGAGAGTAAGAACCCTTCTAGGCAGAGCCTAGGTAGGGAAATATCAGTTTTCCAATCGGACATCGACGATGCTTGCTTCTTTGGGGCTCTATTGGGGTGCCTCTTGGGGCGTCTTCGGGGCCTCTGTTGATGTTTTTTCAGGTCTCATGGGGGCCTCTTGGGGCCCCGTCTTGGGCGTCGCCTTGGGGCGTTCTTGGGCGGTTTGGGCGCCTCGTGGGCCGTCTTGGCCCCCTCGTGGGCCGTCTTGGGGCCCTCTTGGGGGCATCCTCGATCGGTTTGGGTATCTCTTGGGCCGTCTTGGACGCAGTGGAAGCCCAGAAGGCGAACACGCCAAAAATATCAGCTTTCCAATCGGAAATCGACGATGTTTGCTTATTGGGCCTCTCTCGGGGTGCCTCTTGGGGCGTCTTCGGGGCCTCTTTTGGTGTTTTTGCGGGTCTCATGGGGGCCTCTTGGGGCTTCTGGGCCCCTTCTTGGAGCCTTTTGGGGTCTCCTGGGGGTCTCTTGAGCCCAAAGGCGTGAATTTCCGGTTCCTCGTCCCCGTGTTGGGCGCCGCCTTGGGGCATTCTTGGGCGGTTTGGGCGCCTCGTGAGCCGTCCTGGCCCCCTCGTGGGCCGTCTTGGGGCCCTCTTGGGGGCATCCTCGACCGGCTTGGGTACCTCTTGGGCCGTCTTGGACGCAGTGGAAGCCCAGAAGGCGAACACGCCAAAAATATCAGCTTTCCAATCGGAAATCGACGATGTTTGCTTATTGGGCCTCTCTCGGGGTGCCTCTTGGGGCGTCTTCGGGGCCTCTTTTGGTGTTTTTGCGGGTCTCATGGGGGCCTCTTGGGGCTTCTGGGCCCCTTCTTGGAGCCTTTTGGGGTCTCCTGGGGGTCTCTTGAGCCCAAAGGCGTGAATTTCCGGTTCCTCGTCCCCGTATTGGGCGCCGCCTTGGGGCATTCTTGGGCGGTTTGGGCGCCTCGTGAGCCGTCTTGGCCCCCTCGTGGGCCGTCTTGGGGCCCTCTTGGGGGCATCCTCGACCGGCTTGGGTACCTCTTGGGCCGTCTTGGACGCAGTGGAAGCCCAGAAGGCGAACACGCCAAAAATATCAGCTTTCCAATCGGAAATCGACGATGTTTGCTTATTGGGCCTCTCTCGGGGTGCCTCTGGGGGCGTTTTCGGGGTTTTCGGGAGCCTTCTTGGCGTCATGGGAGTCGTCTTGAAAGGCGTCTGGAGCCATCGCTGCGGCCTTCTGGGGCCTCCCTGCAGCCTCTTGGGGCCCTGTTGGCCCCGGGTCGCCGAACCCCCGTAAAAACATATGGAAACGACCCCCGGGCCCCACATTTGTGGTCGTGGCGCCAGCCCCGGCCCCCGGACCCAGTCCCTCGTTATATGTATACATACATACAGAAATTCATAAATACATGCATGCATGCCTGTATGCATACATACTCACACATGCACGCATGCATATATGTATACATGCATGCATACATACTTACTCACACACATACATATATATGTACATACAACAGACTGACTTATTTACAGGCACACCTAAATGCATGTCTGCATGCATGCATACCTACATGCATGCATGATAAATACATACATGATGCATGCATGCACACATGCAAACATGCATATATGCATGCATCCATAGGCATACGAGATAGAATAACAACACAATTATACATATACATATATGGATATCGTATGTATTGCGTGGCATACTGCATACATAACAGTAACATGTTGTAGGTAAGTGGGTATATAATGTGTTGGTTAATATAAATATAGACCGAGAGAGACAGAAGAAAACATTAAACAAACATTAAACAAACACCTTCCTCATCCTCCGTATCCTCCGCCACCTTCACATCCTCCCCCCCCTCCTTCTCATCATCATCGCCATCTGCCTTCTCCACATCAGCGTCCTTCTCTCCTTCCTTTTCACCCTACGTCTCCCCCGCTCGACTCCTCCTCCTACCAATTCTCATCCTCATCCTCACAAAACTCATTACCAGCATCCACCTACTCCTACACATCATCAAAATCATCATCATCATCATCATCACCACAACCACCACTACCATCATCGCCATCACCAACACCACGACTACCATCATCATCATCATCATCATCATCATCATCATCATCGTCATCATCATCATAATCATCATCATAGTCATCATCATCCCCAACATCATCATGGTCATGATCGTTTCCATCATCATCATCATCATCATCATCATCATCATCATCATTATATCACCGTCGTCACCAATATCATCCCCATCACATCAGCATCATCATCATTACCACCATCATCATGATCTCCATCAGCATCATCATCATCACCGTCGTCATCATCAGCAGCACCATCATCATACTCATCATCATCATCATCATCATCATCATCATCATCATCATCATCATCATCATCATCATCAACATCGTCATCATCGCCATCATCATCATCATCATGATCTCAGCCTCCCTCCCTCCCTCCATCCATCCCTCCTATCTTCCTCCTCCCTCCATCTCCAGGGGTGCCAAGCCCGCTCCCGTCGCACCGCTGGGTGAGCCATGGCGCCGCCTCGGGCGGCAGTGGCACGGGGGCGTTGGGCGATGGCCCCGCGACGGCCGCGCTGTGCGCCCCCCCCTCCTTGAGGCGACGCCGAGGCCCTGCCGAGGCGTGCGCGCCGTCGGACATGCGAGGGTGCCTTGCCTCAGGATGCGCGAGAGCATCCCACGAGCACGAAGATTGGCAGGGTAACCTCCCCCCGAGCCGACCTCGATCTCTCATACCTCGGTCCGACTGTAAATAATCGGGGGGGGGAGAAGGGTGCACCTTTCGTGCCCCTGTTGGGCCCCTGTTAGGGCACAGAGTGTGCACCTTTCTTCACCCCCCCTGAGCGTCCAAAACACACCAAGGGTACCCTCCCCAGGATGCACAAGAACATCCAACAAACACTTGCAGCGTCGGCGACTAGGCAAGGGACGTCTGCGCTGGGCATGGGATGCCGTGAAATCAAACTGTGCCACCATGCAAGAGGAGGAGGAGGAGGAGGGGGAAGGCGCGGCCGAAAAAGTGGCAGACGGAGAACATCCAACACATACGGAGAACATCACAGTGAGGGCCGATCCACAAGAAACCCGACCCTGGAACCTCAGGACGTCCATTGATTTGTGGTGTGAGCACGTCACGCTATCCATGGCAAAAACATCGAAACCCAAGAAACCCAGGGCACCCTGGAGGCAAGCAGGGTGTTTCTTGGCATGGGCCACCACTGTAGGGTACCCTCCCCGAACCGACCTCGACCTTACACCTCGGCCTGGCCGTGCGTGCGCGGACGAAGGGGGGCCAGGGAACTTCCATCTCGGAGAGACACGGGGCGGGCTCGAGCCTGGGAAGCTCGAATCTCGGAGATCCAGCGGCTCCGGAAAATGTCTCGGGCGCCGCAGCCACCTCAGAGCGTCCCGGAACGCTCTGAGAGCGTTCTGGAACGCACTGGAACGGATTGGTTGGGCCGCCTCGGACGCGAGCTCCGCTGCAGAAATCTCACGAAGACTGGACCGCCAAAGCCTTGCGCTGGGGCCGTCAGGCGCGGCGGCAGGCCCGAGGGCGGCACTGAAACGGCGGCAAGAGACCCCCGAGACGGACCCGGAGCGGATATGTTCCTGGTGTGTATCGCCCCGTTCTCACTGAGCCCCGATCGTCGGATCCTAGCGTTCACGTCTCACACGGCGGTAGAGTCCCACACTGAAAGGTTCCATACGAAAGGTCCCACACCATAGGGTCGCACGCGATGGGGTCCCAAACGAAAGGGCAAAAGGCGATACGGTCCCACACGATGATACCGCCCCATGCGACTGGGTACCACACGACACAGGGTCCCACAAGTAAAAGCCCAATACGATAGTGTCCCACAAAACACGATCTCACACGATGGCCCCCCACACGATAGGACTCCGACGAGGTCCTAAACGAGATGGTCCCGCACGGTAGGCCCCCCCGACACGATAGCATCCTGATTATCATCATCATCATCATCATCATCATCACCATCATCATCATCATCATCATCACCACCATCATCATCATCATCATCACCACCATAATCATCATTATCCATCATCATCACCGTCATTATCATTGTCATCGTCATCATCAACATCACCACCACCATCATCATCATGATCATGACCACCACCACCACCACCACCATCATCATCATCATCATCATCACCATCCATCATCATCACCGTCACTGTCATTGTCACCGTCATCATCAACGTCGCCACCACCACCATCATCATCATGATCATCATCACCACCACCACCACCACCACCATCATCATCATCATCATCATCATCATCATCATCATCACCATCATCCATCATCACCGTCATTATCATTGTCATCGTCATCATCAACATCACCACCACCATCATCATCATCATGATCATCACCAGCAGCATCATCACCCTCACCATCATCATCAGCAGCATCAGCATCATTATCATCATCATCAGCAGTATCAGCAGTAGCATCATCATCATCACCATCATCACCATAGTCATCATCATCATGATCATCAGCATCATCATCGTCATCAGCAGCAGCATCGTCATCGGCATCGTCATCATCATCATCATGAGCAGCATCATCAACATCGTCATCGTCATCGTCATCGTCATCATCAGCATCATCATCATCATCGCCATCATCATCATCATCATCATAATTAGCATCAGCAAGATCATCATCATCATCGTCTTTGGCGGCGGCGTCGTCGTCGTGGTTTGCACCATGGTTCCCATCATCAGCAGCAGCATCATCTTCGACGTCAGCATCACCACCACCATCATCATCATCATCATTGCCATCGCCATCATCATCATCATCATTATCATCATCATCATCATCATCATCGTCGTCGTCGTCGTCACCATCGTCATTACCATCATCGCCGTCGTAACCATTGCCATTACCATCCTCAGCATCATCGTCGTCTCCTTCGTCGTCATCACTCTCATCATCTTCATCATCATCCTCATCATCATTGTTATCATCATCATCATCAGCAGCATTAGCATCACCATCATCATCATCATCATCATCATCGCCATCATCATCATCGTCATCACCATCACCATCATCATCATCAGCATCATCATCATCCCAGTTTTTGTCATCATCATCACCATCACCATCACCATCACAATCACCATCATCGTCATCGTCATCATTATCATTATCACCATAATCATCATCTGCATAACTACCAAAACCCTCATCATCATCATCATCATCACCCTCATCCTGAACATCATCATCATCATCATCGTCATCAGTATCATCAACACCCCCACCATCATCATCACCATCATCGTCATCATCATCAACCACTAATTACCGCCGGCATCAGCAGCATCATCAGTAGCACCATCATCATAATCATTATCATCATCAGCAGCATCATCATATCATCATCAACATCATCGTCATCGGCATCGTCATCATCATCAGCATTAACATCATCAGCGGCGTCAGCATCGTCATCGTCATCATCATCACCATCATCACCATCGTCATCATCAGCATCATCGCCATCATCATCAGCAGCATCAGCATCAGCACCATTCACCAGCACCATCATCATCATCCCCATACACCATCCTTACCAGCAGCAGCAGCATTATCCTCATCCTCATCATCCTCCTCATCCTCCCCTTCTCCTCATCATCACCACCATCATCACCATCATCTTCATCATGATCAGCATCATCAGATTCATCATCGCCATGGTCACATTATGGTTCGTCTTCACGATTCTACTTAAAATCAGACTATTCATCACCATCGCGACCGTCGTCATAGGTCATCATCAACCACCATCATCACGCCCCTCCCCATTCTTCCTCTGCCTCCTCCTCCTCGGAGGAGGAGGAGAGAGGAGGAGGAGGAGGAGGTCAGGTCAGGTCAGGTCAGGCAGTCCTCGAAAGCTCCTCGAAAGAAGGCTACCGGGGGGGTGTAGCACAAAAGCTACAGCCCAGAGGCCCAAGTGTGGGCCAGCAGAGAAAAAACTCAGAGGGGCACTAAGCCACAATTTTGAAAGGTAAAACAATACCTCGGGTGGAAACGTCGGATTCAGGGCATAAACATAATCCTGCTCCTCCAACTTCCCCGGCCTAAACGCCGAAGGAGGTCTGGGGAGGGATCAGCAGCCACGCCTGCGGCGCGTCTGCGGCGGGCGCGGCGGGCGCGGGGGGCCGCCACCGCCGCCGCGTCGCCGTCGGGGGGAGGAGACCCACCCCCACACATCCTACCCACCACCCCAAGGACGAGGTACTGGAGAATACACGAGCACAGCGAAAACGCACGAAAACAATCGAGACTAGGCCGCTTCAAACGGCGGCCCTCTCAAATCAGGATCTTACACCGACAGACCCCCTATTATGCACCCTCCCCCCGCATATCACATTCCCCCACCACGAGAAACCAGCTCTGTCGATTCACACATTAGAAATCGCCAGCGAGAACCAACGGTGAAGGTCCGTCTGGACCGACTCAGGAGGGGGAGGCGGAGGCGGAGGGGGGCTAAACAGGCCCTCAAGCTGGACAGGTACTCGCTTGCGTTCGGCCGATCTCTCTCTACGCCGTCTCAGGGCGGCGGCTCTATTGGCGGCAATCCTGGCTACCACATCAGGGGGGAGATCGAGAGGAAGTGGCGGAGGAGGAGGAGGCTCTGAACAAGGGGGGCACGCTCCGAAAGCGGCGACAGCTGTCTCGTCTGCATCGAGATGAGCCATCGCGACTGAGTGCGCGCCTTCTATTTCCTCCTCCTCCGAGGGGAAGCGGGCAAAGCCATCCTCCTCAAGAGTCGCCGAGATACGAGCAAACGCCGAGGGAGGGCGAGGGGGCTTGGTACCACCTGCAAAATCGGGCCCCATGAAAGGGGCATTCAAGGCAATATTATTAGAGTCAACAAAAAACCTGTGGAGCTCCTGAACCTCTGCCTCCTCATTGGCCTGGCCCAAGACCGGGGACTGTCCGAGGAGGGAGGGGAGCAAAGCTTTGAGCATGGAGGAGGCAAGGACCTGGCACAGAGCGGGTGGGTAAACCTTCTTGGGCGCAGTCCGCCATCTCTTGAGGTTACTGTCCCACCCAACCATAGTTTCGTGGGCTTTGGGCCCGTGTGAGCAATAGCCTCCTCCAGGGGTGTCACGCAGCAAAGTGGGGAGCTCAGAAAGCCTGATACCTAACGGGGCAGTAGGGGCTCTACCGATTTGACCGAATTCGCATTGATCGAAAGTAGTAAAACTAGAACACGGTGCTGCCATGAGAGCCTTGAGCGGCATTACACTCCACGAGGGGACTGAACGGGGTTCCCAAGACGGGGGGGACGGATGCTCCATCCACGCACACCCTTGCGAGACTGCCATAATGCACATTAGCTCCACCATGGCCTGCAACAGATCATTAGACACGGCAACCTGCAACTGCTGTCTTGGTGTGAGCTCTGTCACGCCCCAAGGAGCATGCCAAGACCTGAGTGGAGGGGGGCCCCCCTCTCTCCACCGAGCTGCACAAAACGTTTCACAGGGGGGCCCCCCTCCCAAGGCGACAACGCGCCCTGCTCTGATATGTGCTGCAAAGCATTCAATAGAACTCCTTTTGCGCAAATCGCCAAGCTCTTTATCCAGCAGGATGTCAACCGACAGGACAGCAAGTTCAAACGAAGGAGTATATCTTGTCATGGCCACTTCGATGGCCTCCTGTACGTCCCCAGGTCTACGCTGCCCACAAAACAGGTTG